GCAAAATGAAGTTATGGAGGTATAACACTGAGCTGACTTGCCACGTGCACATTGTAGAGACTATTCAAATCATTTTTAGCTTCCCCGGTGGCCTAGTGGTAAAGGATCCGGCTGCAGTCCAGGGGCTGCAGGAGATGCAGGTTCCATCCCTGGGCTGGGAAGAGCCCCTGGAGGAGGGCATGGCAACCCACTCCAGGATTCTTGCCTGGAGAATCCCACGGACAGAGGAGCCTCGTGGGCTACAGTCCACGGGGTCACAGAGAGTCGGACATGACTGAAGCGACTTAGCACATATGCCCAAATCATTTTAGCAATTATTAATTTTCTAACTAGATGTGTACTATGTTAGGGGCCATTGAGACTCAGTTAAGCCCCAGAAGTATATGTAGAAGACATCAAAGTTGACTTGGGCAGTTAAGTCATAACTTGGGCTTTTCAGTTGTGATTACACTTAAAACTGTAGTGTTGTCTAATAGTCATTTGGCCAGCCTGTTTACAGTGGCATAGGGGACTTGGCAAAGGTAAACAAAAATTTCAATTCAGAACTAAAAAAAAAACTAACTCACACTTTTTAAATTAATTTTTTAAAAGGTAAAAGGTATTGCTAATAAATACTTGAAAAGATGGTCAACATCAGTAGCCAATAAAACGCAAATCAAACTCACGATAAGATACTGCTTCACACCCAGTAGGTTAGCTATGATAAAAGATAGACAATAAATAGTATGTGTTAGCGAGGATGCAGAAATTAGGGCCCTTATATAGTGCTGGTGGTAGTGGGAAAAGATATAGCTGCCATGGAAAACAGTTTGGCAGTTCCTCAAGAAATTATAAATGGAGTTACAGAATTGATCTAACAATTCTCCTCCTAGATATACAACAAAAAGAATTCAAGTCGTTGTGTCAAACACAGTAACTGGAACATAAATATCCATCGTAGTATTATTCATACTAACCAAAAAAAGTAGAAATAGGACTTCCCTGGTGGTGCAGTAGCTAAGAATCTTCCTGCCAGTACAGGAGACACGAGTTCGATTCCTGGTCTGGGAAGATTCCACATGCTGTGGAGCAACTAAACCTGTGTGCCACGACTATTAAGCCCGTGCTTTAGGGCCTAAGAGCTGCAGCTACTGAGCCCTGGAGCCTAGAACCTGTGTCTGCAGCAAGGGAAGCCACCACAATGAGAAGCACGTGCACTGAAATGAAGAGTAGCCCCCACCCCCTGCAACTAGAGAAAGCCCACTCACAGCAACAAAGACTGAGTGTGACCAATAAATAAATAAAAATTTAAAGCAACAACAAAAAAGGAGACCATTTATTGTAATCTTTAATAAAAAAAGAAAGCATAAATAAGCCAAATTTTCATCAACTGAGGAACTGTTAAACAAAATGTAGAATATCCATACAGTAGAATATCTATTCAGCTGTAAAAAAAAAGAATGAAGTGCTGATTCATGTTACAACATGGTTGTACCTTGAAAGCATAATGCTATATGAAAAAAACCAGATATAAAAAAGACCATGTGTTATATGATTCCATTTATATAAAATGTCCAGAGTAGGCAAATCTATATAGACTGAAAGCAGATTTATGGTTGCCACAGACTGAGAGAATAGGAGAAATGGGGAGTGACTGCTAATAGGTATGTGGTTTCTTTTTGGTGCGATGAAAATGTTCTAAAACTGGATAATGTTGATAATCACACAGCCTTGTGAATATACTAAAAACCACTGAATTGTGTGATTGAAAAGGGTAAGTTTTATAGCATGTAAATTATATCTCAAAAGAACAAAAGCAAAGCATATACCTATAGTGGGCATGAAGCATGAAATAAGAAATAAACCTTTGTTATCATAAAAAATCATTGTGAAAAGAGGAGGTGATTCATGGCCAGGAAAAGATTCTGTGGGAAAACAAATCATCCTTCTATTAGAGATTCCTAACGCTGAGTAGCCCGTCTCAAGTTCTAAAAGTCTTATGAAGATGGGAACATATTTAACTTCATTGAGCCAGCATCTCCCAAACATTTCATTATAAGTAACATTTACTCACAACAGTCGTGTTTGAAGGACTAGTGTCCTAGAGAAGAGTGAGTCTTGGACTTGAGTATCCGTATGTAGGGATCACGTGGAATGTTTGTTAAAACAGATTCCAGGGTCCCACTCCAGAGATTCTGACTCCAGAAGTCTTGGGTGCAACCTGAGAATCTGCATGTCCAACAAGCTCCCAGATGATTTTATCCTTTAGGTTTGAGAACTAGACTTTGAGTAACATCTTTATAGAATAGACAAATCCTGTACCTTAGATGGAAGAATTTTATGGCAAGTGAATTGTATCTCAATAATGATGCTAAAAATTTTTATATACTAGAAATAGCACTAAAATGTGAATTCTAGTGATTTTGTTAATTCAAGACAATGCTGTGTGAGTGAATTATTTCCATTAAAAATTTCTTCATCTGTAAAATGAGTCACTGCTATATACTACCTAGGGTTGTGGTGAAAATGAGGCAGTGTATTCTTCCAGACTGGATTCTGTGGATAAAGATGTGTTACTTAAAAAAAAAGTCCATGGCCAGCTAAGTTGGGAAGTCTCTGAATTAAATAATGCATATTCCAGATTGACGGTCAGACCATTATTTTTGACTTGGATCCTATTATCAGTCTATGTGTATCAAATAAATGAAGAATGAGCTTTTCATTCATTCTAATTCTTATAGTAGATCTTCTGGAGCTACAAATATCCTTATGAAGTAGAAAATTAATAAGCAAGATTTGAACAATATATATATTTTTAATTAATTTATTTATTTGGGGCTGCACTGGCCCTTGGTTGCTGTGCGCAGGCTTTCTCTCGCGGGAGAGCAGGGCTGACTCTCTAGCTGTGGTGCTTGGACTTTTCACTGTTGTGGCTGTCTTGCTGCAGGGCACAGGCTCTAGGCATACACTTCAGTAGTTGCAGCACATGGGCTCAGTAGTTGTGGCACATAGGCTTAGTTGTTCAGTGGCATGTGGGATCTCCCTGGACCAGGGATTGAACTGATGTCCTCTGCCTTGCAAGATGGATTCTTAACCACTGGAACACCAGGGATGTCCAAGATTTGAATAATATTCTGGGACCAGCACTAGTTGTTACTCTTTTGCTTCAACCCTGTTACATCCTGCTTGATTTTTTATTGACCTATTTATTTGAAAAATTTTTGACCAAAAAGAACTTTGTCATATATGGGAGGAGAAGAGGGCAACAGAGGGTGAGTTGGTTGGATGGCATCACCGACTTAATGGACATGAGTTTGATCAAACTCCAGGAGATAGTGAAGGACAGGGAAGCCTGGCACGCTGCAGTCCATGGGGTCACAAAAAATCGGACATGATTTAACAACTGGACAATGAACAACATTGGCTATGATAAAATAATGTCTGGTAAGGTTAAGAGAATATTTTCAGCCAGTTATTTGTCTTTTTAAATCAATTTATGTTCATAGAGCAAATTACTTTCAAAATTAGATCAAAGCTAATTTAAATACCATATCCAGAAGTAATTTTGGCTCTTTAGCATTTTAATTGAGAAAAAATATATATATAGTTTTCCCTTCTCCCTTTCTTAAACTTGGGCTATTTATTTTTTTATTTTTTTTATTTTTTTTAAGAATCAAAGTTTAATACTTCAAGGACACCCCAAATGAGTTACTGGTGGGGTTACAGAAGCTTCCATTCAAGCCACCACAGCAAGAATCAAGAATATTAAAGTTGAAGCAATCATCTCTTTGGATACATAAAAACTATATATTAAAGCGTGTCACAAAGTGCAAAAGGGGAGGATTCAGCAGAGCAAAGGCAAGCAGCAGACTGATTGTCCTTACAATAGGGCAGGGAAACTCATTTTGGAGTTCATACTGCCAGAAAAGAAAGCTGCTTCAGGCAAATTTAAAAAAAAAAGTTTTCATTGATTCTTATTACAGCTAGCAAAGGCAAGCTCAAAGAAAATCAAGGTTCCGATTTCTCATGACTGTAGTTGGATTTGCAACAGAGAGAGCCTTTGGTCACTTCTCATATGTAGGCTGAAAAAGCAGCAGTGAGATTTTAGCCAGTGATTCTGACCCCAGGCTGACACCTCAGTGCCCAAGCTCTGAGCTCCTCAGGGAGGACAGCCTGGAATTGCTCCTGCACCAGCATTTCCACAGTCTGCTCCTTTGTGTGAATATCAGGTCGCAGCCACTGTCCAGCAAGCTCCTGAAGATGTCTCAGGACATCCCTGGGCCCAGCTGCATCTTCATAGCGGAACTCCCGGAACCTCTGCCTGGAGGCTGCAGGGTTGAGAGGCCTCCTTAGGGGCACGGCCTCCAGGTCGTCTTCAGAGTCTTCAGCCGGGCTCTCTGCTGGGACCTGGACCTGGGGCGGTGCTATCAGGATGCCTTCTGGCTCCTCAGCCATCATCTCATTTGGTGGTGACCTTATTTCATCATTCTGGACTTCATCTCTTTGCATCTCTGGATACCCTTCAGTCTCCATCCTAGAACTCTGCAAAAGGATTTTTCAGACTCCTGCGCAGGTGCCCCTCGGAAGGCCGGGTGAACGGGGGAAGGAGAGGAGCGAGACGCCAAGCCCCGCCACCAGCTCCAGGAAAGCTGGGCTATTTATTTTTTAAAAAATTGAGTCCCTCATTACCACCTTTATTTGAAGCTTTTTAAATTAACCAAATGTTTTCTTATATAAGCAGTTTAAACTTTAAAATTTTGTTTACTTGTCTTTTTAATCTTAGCTGAAAAGCATTTCTTTCCTGATTTTCTTTAGTGATCTATTTTAAGCATTATTTTTGATGTTATAATCTATTCTTAACCCCTTTCCTAGAATTCTGGAATTCCTAGAATTAAGCTCCCTAAAGTCAAATATATTATATTATTAATTGTGGTATTATTAATGTGGTACTAATGTAGTAATGTATATATAGTTTGAAAATGTTTTTTCAGAACCTTAATATGATTTTGCCTTTATTTCAGATGAAGTGGAGGACCATCCTTCCACAATGTTGTTTTATCTTGGTTACATGCGCACTTACTACTCTTGAAGCTGTGCCTATAGACATAGACAAGACAAAAGTAAAATCTGCTCAGCCTGTGGACAGTGCAAAGATAGAACCACCAGTAAGTGAAATGACAAAGATAACCTGGTGGGAAGAATTTTAACTAAAATATTGCTAAGATTTGTTACTTATAAAATTGGAAATTTAGGAACTATTTTTCAAAAAGTAGTAAAATGTATAATGAATAAGTATATGTTGTTGTTTAATATTAGACAAAATTTATTTAATGTAGTTATGTTATATATATATATATCTAGTTAGTATATTAGATACTATATAAGAGAATTAACCATAATATATTTCCAAGATGGAGATAACCAGCCAAGAAAACATTGTATTATATTCAGAGAAGAGACAGATAACAATAAAGGAGACAGGTGACAATGGGGTAAACTCAATAATTTTAATATTATTGGTTAAGTCTACATTGTCTAAGCGATATAGAAAATTGGCTTTTACATAGGAGTAAAACATGACATTGGTTCTGATACAACGTTCTTCATTTGAGAAATACAGTTTTTTAACTTTGCCAAAACTATCAAAGTAGGTTTGTCTCAGTACCATTTTTCTAGACATTTGTTTTTTGTTTGTTTTTTAGGATTGAGATCTTTAGATACAGGGAAGGAAAAACTTTCAGAAGAGTTATTGTTTGTTTCTTAATTTGAAGGATACTGGACTTTATTATGATGAATACCTCAAGCAAGTGATTGATGTGCTGGAAACAGATAGTCATTTCAGAGAAAAGCTCCAGAAAGCAGACATAGAGGAAATAAAGGTAAATGTAATTAAATAATTGTTTGACAAATATTTAAGCATGCCAGACACTGAGCTAAGTATTGGGATTACAAAGATGAGTCTCATTCGCAGCCCTTGAAGAACCCTCAAGGGAGACTAATACCGAGAAAAAGATTACTACAATGAATATGTGTGAGTGTATAATGTATTTTGGAGATATAAGATTGGACACCTAATTCAGTGGGGGAAGGTGGGTCATATTTCTCTTCCTAGAGATTATGTCTATTGCTTAAAGATGTGGCTCAGAAAAGGAGAAAGACTGGGAGACATCCCAGGCCAAGGTGCAGAAGATATATAGGAACCTGGAAGTAGCAAATGTTTCTGGAAGCTAGCCTGGGAAATGGAGGCCATGATTGGCCTAAAGATGAGGTTGGAAGGAATCATGGGCTAGATGATAGAGGGTCTTATACATCATGGTAAGAGACTTGAAACATGATGGGAGGCCAGCAGGAAGCTATTCAAAGGTTTAGAGTTAGTTTAGTTCTGGTGTTTAATTAGATCCAGATTAATAGAGGATGTAATGGCCCATATCTTATCTTAATAGGGGAGGTTTAATTAGCCTCTGTCCTAAGAACCCCATTTATTAGACATTATCTTAGTCCTAGACCTCTCCTTAGTACTCATAATAAAGAAAAGAGATTGCAAAAACAAGATCTGACATGAGAGATTCTTTTAAAGCCCATCCTTGAAGGGTGAAAGTGAAAGTGTAGTCTCTCAGTCGTGTCCGACTCTTTGTGACCCCTTGGACAGTAGCCCACCAGACTCCTCTGTCCATGGGATTCTCCAGGCAAGAATACTGGAGTGAGTTGCCATTTCCTTTTCCAGGGGATCTTCCTGACCCAGGGCTTGAACTCGGGTCTCTTGCCTTGAGGGAGATTCTTTACCATCTGAGCCACCAGGGAAGCCCATCCTTGAAGGGTAATGAATCCATTTAATTTGGTTTATCTTAGAGTCAGAAGTTAAAAAAAAAAAAATCCAATGATTTAATTTTAAACTTTCAGTAATATCTCTCAAGATAGTTTTATTGGTTTGCTTATATTATTCTTATCTGTTTTTAACTTTCCTAAAAAATTATCTCAGCTGTTTCTAGAATCAGAACTAGAGAACTTCATTTGAAGGAAACATTCTGGATCCAAGCATCCTTCTTATTTTAGTTTCTGTCCCTGGTCTGGGCCCCTTTTGAAAGTCTGACTGCATAAGGTTGTGGCTACTATCAGAACCTGTGTGTAGCTTTTAGTTCACAGCTTTCCTCTTGGAAGCTGTGAACTTTTCTGGGAGAATGGTAGCAGCCTTATGCCAATAATTCCCTTGAATTATTTTTATTTTATTTTATTTGAGAATTTCCTTTTTTTTTAAAAAAAATGACATATATTTGACATATGGCATTATATCAGTTTAATGTTGTGGACATAGTGATTTGACATTTGTATACTTTGGGAAATATAGGTCTAGTAACCATCTGTCACCTCACAAAATTAATACAATATTATTGACTGCACACCCCATGTAGTGTATTACATCCCCATGGCTTATTTATTTTATATCTGGGAGTTTGTACCTCTTGATCCCCTTCACCCATTTCATTTCTTCCCCAACCTCCCTCCACTCTGGCAGCCACCAATTTGTTCTCTGCATGTGTGTGTCTTTTTCATTTGGTTTAGTTGGTTTGTTCTGTTTTTTTAGATTCCACATATGTCAGGCAGCATTTTTCTTTCTCTGCCTAACTTATTTCACTTAGATAATACCCACAATCCCCTGAATAATCTTGTGTTTCCTTGAAAAATTTATTTGAGCTATGGAACTAATTTCCTGGGATGAATGATATATAATAGAGACCTTTCAGTGTCTCTTATCTACAATACTTCAGTTAGGACTAAGAGCATTATTTGAGGACCAACAAAAATGTGGATAATGGGAGTTACTATAGAAATAACCAGGGGGAAAAAGGCAGCTAGCTTGGCTTATTTGGTATGGGAATACTTTTATAACTGTCTTCCTTTCACAGCCAATTCCTTTTCTTCATGGGGTTGGATTGGGGAGGTGGGGAGAAAAAAATGGAGTAAGTTAAACTGTTATTTAATGAAAAAGAAATGAATAAAGCTAGACAACAAATCCCAACCCAACAGAATCATTTCAAACAGCTAGGCAGTTCCTCTTTTCTCAGGAGAAACTGGAGAAAAAAGTTAGAAGTTGTCCTTTCCTTTTCAGCTAAGCATTTTGAAAGGAGCCTCATACTACATTTCTTCCCTTACCAAACATTGCTAACTGGGAGGATCATGACATTGCCTGGGCCACTTCCCCGAGTGTACTTTTGTGAAGGATGTCATGACTTCTTAATTGCCAGATCTAGTGAACACATTCTATTCCTCTTCTTACTGGACTCCTTTATTTTATCTCAGTGGTTCTCAAAATTTTGAATTGTTAAAATGAATTTCTGGGCCCCACCTCCCAACTTTATGATTAAGTAAGTCTAGGGCCTGCGGATCTGGTGTTCCCAAGGGACGTTGGTGCTTCTGCTTGAGAACTATTGTTTTATCAATAATAGTGACCATCTCTCCTTGAAATATACTGCTCTTTTTGCTTCTGTAACAATAAACTATTCTCTTGGCTCTCCTTTCCCCACTCTGAACATTCTTTCTTGGTGTCCCTTGTGGAGTTTCTTTCCCTTCCCTTCCTCAGCAGGCCCCCTTGACTCAAGCCTGAAGGATTTGTGTGCCTGATTTGCTAGCTAGACTTGCAGTTTATGATTGCAAATGCATTTATAAACAAGAGAAAGTAAACCACCAACTATTTTGTTTCTTAAATTTTGAAGCATGTATATATTCATCTATGGAAAAAGTATTCAAAGGAGACAACCTAAAAAAGATGAATTTTGATAAGTTTTTAATATATGGAATGACTAAAGCTTAAGGAAGCCATGTTACTTAAAAAAGCTTTATCAAAATATAATTAATATACCATAAAATTTGCCCCTTTAAAGTGTACAATGCAGTGCTTTTCATATATGTACAGAGTTACATAACCATCACTACTATCTAATTTTAGAACAATTTTATTTCCTCTAAAATGAAACCCTATAACCATTAAGCAGTCTCTTCCTTTCCTCTCCTCAGCCCCTGGCCAACATTAATCTACTTTCCATCTCTGTGGTTTTGCCTGTTCTGTACATTTCATATGAGTGGAATTATACAAAATTTGGCCTTTTGTGCTTGGCTTCTTTGACTTAGCATAGTGGTTTCAATGTTCAGCATATTGTAGCATATGTTGGATATTCCATATTTTATCAATTCATCAGTTGATGGGCATTTGGGTTATTTCTACTTTTTTGGCTAGTGTGAAAAATGCTGCTGTGAGCATTCATATTTAAGACTTTATGTGAACATATGTTTCTTCTTTAGGTATATATCTAGCAATGGATTTGCAGGATCATATGGTAACTCAGTGTTTAACTTTTTGAGAAATTGTCAAATTGTTTTCCAAAGTGGCCACACCATTTTACAATTTAAGTTACTTTTTGAGTTTCTTGTTTTTGCTTTAATTATGGCTGTTAGATGTCTTAATTTAGAGTAACAAACTGAATTTCTTCTGAAAGAAATGTTTGTAATATCAAATTTATCTCAATTAGTCAAAGTATTTATCACTACTTTATCATAACCCTATTTTAGACATATTGTATCTTATCTAAAAATGTAATATTATAGATAACATTACTTCTTCATTTTTGTTAACAGAGTGGGAGGCTAAGCAAAGAACTGGATTTAGTAAGTCACCATGTGAGGACAAAACTTGATGAACTGAAAAGACAAGAAGTGGCAAGGTTAAGAATGCTGATTAAAGCTAAATTAGATTCTTTTCAAGGTAAGTGCTAAAGAAAAGGTCTGAAAATTCCAATATTTGGTTTTGAGGTCAGTTTACAGACCATGTTCCTTTAGTCAAAATTTAATGTTAGAGTTGATTTGGCTTCTCTTAATTTTCAAAATGTCATTCAAAAATCAGAATGATTGCCCTTAAATAATTATATCAAAAAAGGAAGATTGAAAAGTAATGAATTAAGCCATTGCTTTAAAGAGGAAAAATAACATCAAAGAAGACCAAAAGAAAGTAGGAGAGAGAAACTAAATAGAACAATTTCCATAGATGAAATATAAAAATTGTCAGAGCTAGCTCCACAAAAACACCAGGTTCAGACAATGCCAAAGGCAATTCTGCTAAACCATTAGAGAGCAGATTGTCAGTGCTATTTAAAGTATTCCAGAGCACAAATGAAGAAGGAAACTTCCACACTCTTATCGTGTATTGATGCCAAAACCAAAATAATTGGATGTTAAAAGAATACTCTGTCATAGCAAGTGGATTTATTTTAGGAATGCAAGATTAACTTTTTAGGAAATCTAATATTATAAATTATTATATGTGTAGATACAGGAAGAAAAAATTTTTTGGTGACAAAAGAACTTGCAGAGTCAAAGGACAAATAATGAATTGGAATAAATCTTTCAAATTTGTATTTTTAAAAAAATTACATTTATTTATTTATGTGTTTCTTTGGCTGTGCCTGGTCTTAGTTGTGGCATGGGGGTATCTTTGAACTTCATTGTGGCACGCGGGATCTAGTTCCCTGACCAAGGATTGAACTTGGGCTCTCTGCATTGAAAGTGTGGACTCTAAAACACTGGACCACTAGGGAATTCCCCTCAATTTTTCTTTAAAAATTAAGATATTTGTTTTTGGTACAATATAAGGTTCATAGCAAGATTGAGGGGAAGGTACAGATATTTCCCATATACCCCCTGTCTCCAAACGTTCACAGCCTACCCCAATACCAACATCTCCCAACAACTGATGAACCTACACTGACATATCATGATACCCCCAAATCCATAGTTTATATTTCACTCTTGGTTTATGGGCCCAGGTAAATTTATAATGACATGTGTCTACCATTATAGTATCATACAGAGTAGTTTCACTACTCTAAAACTCCTCTGGCTCTGCCTATTTATCCTCCCATATTCTAATTTTAGACTATGAGGTGATTACACAGCTAAGAAGCAGAGTTTTTGAAATGTGAAGATATCTCAAAGAAAGTTCATATGATCACCTCCATATATTCAGAAAAGGCATTTGACAGGAATCAACACACCTAATTAATTTTTTAAAAGTAATAAAATAGTAATCAGTAGATATTTCTGTAACATGATCACATATGTCCTGCTCAGCTACACATACTTATTGGAGAAACAGAAATATGTATTTTAACTAAAATTAGAAACAAAACAATGATGCTTGCTATGTCACCACTACTAATTAATATTGTATTGGAGGTATTAATCAAAGCAATTATACAAATGAAAAAATTGGAGGTGAAGTAAATGGAAAGTAGGCAATAAAACCATCTTTATTTGCAGATAATAGGTGCTTGGAAAACTCAATGTAATTGTCTGAAAAACTTAGTATATACAACAGGAATATTCAGCAAGGTAAACAATATACAGAGGGCATCCCAGGTGGTGGTAGTGGTAAAAGAACCCTCCTGCCAATGCAGGAGATGTAAGAGACGCGAATTTAATCCCAGGGTATCTTTAGGGAAGATACCCTGGAGGACGGAATGGCAACCCACTGCAGTATTCTTTTTTTTTTTTTTCATTTATTTTTATTAGTTGGAGGCTAATTACTTTACAATATTGTAGTGGTTTTTGTCATACGTTGACATGAATCAGCCATGGATTTACATGTATTCTCCATCCCAATCCCCCCTCCCACCTCCCTCTCCATCCGATTCCTCTGGGTCTTCCCAGTGTACCAGGCCTGAACACTTGTCTCATGCATCCACTCCAGTATTCTTGCCTGGAGAATCCCATGAACAGAGAAGCCTGGTGGGCTATGGTCCATAGGGTCTCAAAGAGTCAGATCTGACTGAAACAACTTAGCATGCACACAAACAATATATAGAAATCAGTGTTTTTTCATATGTGCAAAGAACAGCCAGTTAGGAGATGTAATGGAAGAGAAGACTATTCACAATACCAACAAAAATAAAATACCCAAAATAAACCTGTTAAGAGATGTGAAAGACTTACAGATAAAAACTTGAAAATGTTCCTGAAGGACACAAAAGTAGATTTGAAAAAACAAGGAAGACATAGCATTTTTCTGATACAAAACTCAGCATTATAAACATGTCAATTCTTCCTAGGTTAATTTATAAATTTAACATGATCCAAATAAAAAAGATGTACATTTTTCCCCTGGTACTGGCAAAGTTAATTTTAAAATTATATGAAAAGGGAAATAAGCAAGAAAAGCAATATGCCTCTTAGGAAGAACAAAGAAGAAGGACTTGATATATTAAATATCAAAACATATCACTGAACATCAGACATTAGAACTCTATGATTTTGTCATGTAAGTAGAAGGACCAGTGAAACAAAATAAAAATTCCAGAAATAAAATTAAATACATATATAGTTTAGTTTGCATTAAAGGTGGTATCTCATTATTAGATAAAGATTTAAAAAAATAAGTGGTCTTAATAGAGTTGGATAGCCATTTGGAAAAAGGTACAGTTAGATTTATATCTCATATATATCAGGATAAGTGCTTATGTAAATCAAAGATTTCAGTGTAGAAAATAAAACCATAAAAGCAAAGTTGACAACATAAGTGAATTCCTTTATTGTCTTGGAATGGCCTTTCTAATTATGAATCAAAACCCAGGGGCCAGATTTGGCAAGTGAGATACCCTTCAAGTTGGCTCCTGTATCCTTGTAATATGCCTGTATAGGTTGGTTATCGGGGTGGTTCATTGTCATCAATAAATATCTGAATATTTATTAAGGGCAGAATATCAGTTTTTAAACTCCAGTTGCATAAAAGTCACCTGGGGAGCTAGTTTAAAAATACAAATTACTGAATCTCATCTCTATATATGCTGATTCTGGGGATAAGTAACTTGCATTTTAAACATGTACCTCTGGTCAATGGATCATATTGGAGAAATTGTGTAGAGCAGTGGTCCCCAAACTTTTTGGTACCAAGGACCAGTTTCGTGGAAGACATTTTTTCCATGAACTGATGGTGATGGGGATGGTTTCAGGATGAATCAAGTGCTTTACATTTAATGTATACTACATTTCTATTATTATTACATTGCCTCCACCTTAGATCCCTGGAGAAGGGAAAGGCTACCCACTCCAGTATTCTGGCCTAGAGAATTCCATGGGCTGTATAGTCCATGGGGTTGCAAAGAGTCAGACACAACTGAGCGACTTTCATTCATTCATTCATTCTACCTCAGATCATCAGGCATTAGGTCCTGGAGGTTGGGGACCCCTCGTGGCTCAGACAGTAAAGCATATTCCTACAATGCAGGAGACCCAGGTTCGATGCCTGGGTTGGGAAGATCCTCTGGGGAAGGAAATGGCAACCCACTCCAGTACTTTTGCCTGGAAAATCCTATGGACAGAGGAGCCTGGTAGGCTACAGTCCATGAGGTCGCAAAGAGTAGGACATGACTGAGCGACTTCACTTCACTTCTTCACTTCACTTCAGTGTAGAGGGTAAACTCTCTGCTGGTGAATAGACTTAGAAAACAAGTACCAAATACTCATTATCCTGAAACCAAGGACATCAATGAGAGGTGAACTAACTCATACCATCCTACTTCATGCAGTCAGACACACAAGGCAATTCTGTCCTTGAAGCTAGGCCTAAGGTGGCTTGAGATTTCTTTACATTTAGACAACTTCCATCGTCCTTAATCTCAGAGAAGGCAATGGCAACCCACTCCAGTACTCTTGCCTGGAAAATCCCATGGTCGGAGGAGTTTGGTAGGCCGCGGTCCATGGGGTCAGTAGGAGTCGGACACGACTGAGCGACTTCACTTTCACTTTTCACTTCCACGCATTGGAGAAGGAAATGGCAACCCACTCCAGTGTTCTTGCCTGGAGAATCCCAGGGACAGGGGAGCCTGGTGGGCTGCCGTCTATGGGGTCGCACAGAGTCGGACACGATTGAAGCGACTTAGCAGCAGCAGCAGCAGCATCTCCTTAATCTTGGCAATGTTTTCTTTATTCCAAGACAGGGGCTAGATTTCATTATCTAAAGTAAACTGTCTTACATCCTTAGAAAAGTTATGAATATTTTCTCCTTGATTCACAATTTATGAGTTAAAATTTCTGATAATTTGAAGAAGAGCTTAATGTTTCTTAATTTGAAAGTGAAAGTCGCTCAGTCGTTTCCGACTCTTTGCAACCCCATGGACTATACAGGCCATGGAGTTCTCCAGGCCAGAATATTGAGTGGGTAGCCTTTCCCTTCTCCTGGGGATCTTCCCAACCCAGGGATTGAACCCAGGTCTCCTGCATTGTGGGTGGATTCTTTACCAGCTGAGCCACAGGGATTGGGGGGAGGTGTATGTGTAATATTTAAAGTAGGCAATAGATTCATATGGTTTAAAACAAGAGAGTATAAGAAAGTTCCTGGATAGTTTTGTACATTATTAGTTTCCACTGCCCCCTGATACCATCCTTCCTGAGTTTCTTAATCATATATAAGCAAATACAAATAAAAGTTCTAATTTTTCCTCTCTTTTTATGCAAAAGATATATGCAATATACATTTTGTGCTGTTTATTTTTCCTTTAATAATATATTTTGGAGAGCTTTCTGTATTAATATGCAGAGACCGTCTTTTTTTTTTTTTTTAGCAGCTGCATATATTTCCATTATATATATATATATATGATAATTTATATACCAGAACCCTGTTGATGGATATTTGGGACATGGGGAGAGGGGAGGAGAGGGTGAGATGTATGGAAAGAGTAACATGGAAACTTACATCACCATAAGTAAAATAGATAGCGAATGGGAATTTGCTATATGGCTCAGGAAACTCAAACAGGGGCTCTATATCCACCTAGAGGGGTGGGATGGGGAGGGAGATGGGAGGGAGGTTCAAAAGGGAGGGAATATATGTATACCAATGGCTGATTCATGTTGAGGTTTGACAGAAAACAACAAAATTCTATAAAGCAATTATCCTTCAATAAAAAAATAAATTAAAAAGAAGAAAAAAGTTTTTACTGTAAGTTACACTGATAGTCAACTAGTCTTTCTTGAAATAACATTAAAATGCACACATTAAATTGTATTCCATTCCAGATTCAATGATATTATCTTTGCCTAGAATAATAATGTGTACAATATTCTTAAAAAAAATTAACCTTTAATCTAAAATGTTGAGCTTTCTTATAAAATATAAATTTTTATTCTTATGTATCATTTATATTAATTAATGATTCTAGCTTCTAGTAACTTATTGTTTACAGTTTTCTCATTTTCTTTCAGATACAGGTATAGACCACCATGCTCTTCTAAAACAATTTGATCATCTAAACCACCTGAATCCTGACAAGTTTGAATCTACAGATTTAGATATGCTGATCAAAGCGGTGAGAATAATTGTCAAAATATATTGTTTTTGTTGTAGATTTGAGATTTCGTAATTTGACAAATTCCATGAAGTGGTAGTCTAACTTTTGTATACACTCTAGAATATCTTTAAAGGGAGATAGTGTAACCCTTATAGTACAGATAATAATGTAGACATACAGATCTGTAATCCCTTGCCAACAATTCCCAAATCCAAAATACTATAAAAATGGAAACCTAGCTTGAATTCTAATAAGGCTGTTTATAGTTTTTTTCTTAGCTTACTTAATATGAGTACTCATAGATTTTGATAAAGAAGTACTCATCTATTTGATTATACTCTTCATGGATGTTACATAGTATTGCATATATGCCATATATCTTTTCTAAAATCTTGAAGATTCTGAAACACATCTGGCCTCAGGAATTTTAGATAGCAGTTCATAGACTTCCTGTGTTGTACTGTTTGGAGTTAGTAGACTAGATGTTCTAGTCTGGGTATTCTTATGTTTAGTTAAGTTGTTAGAAACCATTCTAGTTCTCTATATGGTACAGATTTGATACAGTCTCTTCCTTTTTCTTCTTTTTAAAATGAATTTATATATTACTTGCTTATGTGGAACTTCCTAAGGTTGAAACTAGCTTTGACCTTTTAGCTTCTTTGAATGCCTGCCCCTCTGATAGTGTTGATTGGTTTAGTTGCTAAGTCATGTCTGACTCCTTTTTGAGCCCATGGACTGGAGCCCTCCAGGCTCCTCTGTCCATGGGATTTCCCAGGCAAGAATACTGGAGTGGCTTGCCATTTCCTTCTCCAAGGGATCTTCCTGATGCAGAGCGTGAACGTTCATCTCCCATATTGGCAGACGGATTCTTTACCACTGAACCGCCTGGGAAGCCCATCTCTGACAATAATGACTAAATTAGAAGGGTAGAATTTAAAACGAAAGTTGAGTATGTTTTAGCCCTCCTATACTACCTTCTGTTAGAGAGTATGCTATATGGAAGAAAACTTTTATTTATATTTTCAAGCACATCTTATTTAATTTAAATACTGCTTTATAGGCTACAAGTGATTTGGAACACTATGATAAGGCTCGGCATGAAGAATTTAAAAAATATGAAATGATGAAGGAACATGAAAGGAGAGAGTATTTAAAAACACTGAGTGAAGAAAAGAGAAAAGAAGAAGAATCTAAATTTGCAGAAATGAAGAAAAAGCATGAAAATCATCCTAAAGTTAATCATCCAGTAAGGACTGTGACTTTACCTATGGCTGATTCATGTTGATATATGGCAGAAACCAACACAATATTGTAAAGCAATTGTCCTTCAATTAAAAATAAATAAATTAATTAAAACAATATATATATAAAATCATAATTAAATGAAGATACTTCTTTGTGCCAGATAGTAGAATTTTATCATGTTATTAGTTCTTAAGATCGTGAGTTAATTTTTCATAGTTTTTCCATTTTGCATTTGAGTCTCTATATATGGATTACAGTTTATCTGTTTTTTTTTAATTGATTCACAGGGAAGCAAAGATCAGCTTAAAGAAGTATGGGAAGAGGCTGATGGATTGGATCCTAATGACTTCGACCCCAAGACATTTTTCAAATTACATGGTAACAGAGTTGATTCAAATATTAATATTTATATCATCTATTTGAAAAATAATAGATGCTTTAGTCTTAATTGATTTCTGCTAAACTTTTCTAATTGAGTCCTACTGATAGTAAATATTTAGAGTTTTTCTCAAGGGTAGTATAATAGTCTTTATTACTGGTCTGCAGTATAAAATATTTTAGTTCAGTAGCTGTCTTTATACTTGCTTTTATTTTTGAATCATTATATGACTTACTGCAAGTTTCTCTGTAAAGTGACTAGCTACGTTGCATCTAATAGACTTTAGGCTGTGATATTAAAATATAGTCTTAAAGCACATTGCTTTATATTTTGGGAAAAATTGGTTAACATGTATTTTTCTCAATAACTATGGTGAATTATGAGTAAGTGGTGAATTGTTATCAGTTGGACTGATCGGAGGCTTCATAAAAAGAAAGAAACCTTTTTCGGTAGCATGTTGATGCTTTATGTAAGTAATATTTTTGCAAACCACTTGTAATTAGTTGTACTTTAACTATCTATTTTCTAAGGCATTAAAATCAGTTTTTGCATTTGTAACTTTTAAACTTTAGATGTCAATAGTGATGGCTTCCTAGATGAACAAGAATTAGAAGCCCTATTTACTAAAGAGGTAAATGAGTTCATTAAGTATTCAGTGGCTTTGCTCTCTCTTTTTCCCTTCTATTATCTTCCTTTCTTTTATGTTGGTTTTAAAATTTTCCTTTTAGTTGGAGAAAGTGTATGACCCCAAAAATGAAGAGGATGATATGGTAGAAATGGAGGAAGAAAGGCTTAGAATGAGGGAACATGTAATGAATGAGGTATGTTTGAAATGTTTACCTGTAACTTCTGCAGATTATTCAAGTTCTTGCAATAAATCTTATTGTTAAATGGAAAACAAATATACAGAATAGATATATAATTGTATTTTGCATTTTTGATTCTTAACACTCAGTAGATTCCCTTAGTGTAAATAAAATTATTTTGTAACTACTTTAAAATGTTTTAAAAGATTAAGATGCTCTGCATATAAAAGAATGCTATACAACATTCTTTAGAAGTAAAAAATTAATTTTTGCTAAGAAATTAAAAACTCAATGCCTCAATGGTTTATAGCAACAAATATTTATTTCTTGTTCATGTTATTAAGCTAAAAACTCTGAAAGAGCTATCATAGACAGGATAACTTAAGCCCACAGTTTCTGTTTTTGTCTGTGCTGCATTGCTTGTGTGATTAGCTTGTGGGATCTTAGTTCCCTGAGCATGCTTGAACCCAGACTGTTGGCAGTGAAAGTGTAGAGTCCTAATTGCTAGACCACCAGGGAATTCCCCAAGCCCACTGCTTTGCTTCAGTGATTTTCACCTGATAATTGAGCTATTCATGGTAAATTGGGATTTCTGTTGAGTGCTGGCATCTTACATAACAAATGAATTTCTTTGGCCATCATAGAGTTCAATTTTGTAACTGAATTTGCCATAGTCTATAAGAGCCACTGAGAAGGATTTGGAAAGGTTGGCAGCTTCATCTTTGATTTAGTTAGTTGTTTGTTTTTAGGAAAAAAATGCTGTGAGCATTTAACTTAAACTCCTTTATTCTTGCCTAAAAGTGTCCTTTTTCTGGGAAGATTGTTGCCCAAGCACTTAGCTTCAAAAGGAATTATAAATGGTGTAGGGAGGAAGGAAAATAATATTAGTCTAACCAGTCATATCAGCAGACTCAAACTTGGTGATCTTTGGGGATTTCAGGTATTTTTAAGTTTGAAGTATATAGAAGAGAAAGTTATCTATTCTCTGATTCTAGTATGATATTGAGTGTTCTGTTTTTTTTCTCCCTCAGTTTCTATGGATGTTAGGCTAATGCTAATTGCTGTATGTTTATGTAGCAGCATCTATTAGAAGAATTTCTAGTGTCTAAATAATGAGAAATAGTAATTTTATTTTACATATACATTTTCCTTTAATCAGGTTGATACTAACAAAGACCGATTGGTGACACTAGAGGAATTTCTAAAGGCTACAGAAAAAAAGGAATTCTTAGAGCCGGATAACTGGGAGGTAAGAGAACCTACTTGAAATGGATGTGTGGTTCAAGAAATTTATATCAGTTTATTCCCTTTTAACTTTTATTTGCCATTATGTTTGCATGGATAGTTTTACCATCTTGGCTTTCCACATAAAATGTCACTATAAAATAATGAACTCGATTTCTTGAAAAGCTGTGGCAGCTGATCTCTACTAGTAATCACATTGCATGTAATTAGAAATCTTTTTAAAATTGCACTTAAGTGTAAAATAATGCTCATTCTTGAAAATTAAAAATATGGATACATTTGAAGAGTGAATTGAAAGTTACATGTAATTGTACCATCCAGAAATAGACACAAATTATGCATTGTGTTATGCAAGTTTGGAAATCCTTTGTGTATTTAGTATATGCATATATATAGCGTACAGTGTATAAATAGTGTCTGTCCCATTTTTAGTTTATATATATGCATAAATTCATATCTATATATTTTTTAAATGGCTTTATACTATATAAATGACTTTGTGAAATTCTGTTTTGTAAAATTTAGTGATATTTCATGAAAAATTTCCAAAGCCACGTCTCAAAATCATGATTTAAAAAATGACCACTTAGCATGCAATTGTGTGATAGCATAATTTTTATAGCCATTCTTCCAGATTTAGACTTTTGTTTTTTTTTTACTGTGATAAATAACATTGTGATAACTATCCATTTGTTCATGCATTTTGGGGCATCTGTGATGATTTCCCTAAGATAACTCCTAGAAATAGAACTTTTCTCAAGTTTTATGAGCAGGTTTTAGTTTCTAAACATAGCTGCCAAATTGCTGCCTGCCAAAGGTATTTGAATTTATACCACAGTTTACTGTGTATAAGTGAGTGCAGACACGTCTTGAAAAGAATGGTTGACTCAGTGAGGTACCATTACACACCAGTCAGAATGGCTGCTATCCAAAAGTCTACAAGCAATAAATGCTGGAGAGGGTGTGGAGAAAAGGGAACCCTCTTACACTGTTGGTGGGAATGCAAACTAGTACAGCCACTATGGAGAACAGTGTGGAGATTCCTTAAAAAAATAGAAATAGAACTGCCATATGACCCAGCAATCCCACTCTTGGGCATACACACCGAGGAAACCAGATCCGAAAGAGACACGTGTACCCCAATGTTCATTGCAGCACTGTTTATAATAGCCAGGACATGGAAGCAACCTAGATGCCCATCAGCAGATGAATGGATAAGAAAGCTGTGGTACATATACACAATGGAATATTACTCAGCCATTAAAAAGAATACATTTGAATCAGTTCTAATGAGATGGATAAAACTGGAGCCCATTATACAGAGTGAAGTAAGCCAGAAAGATTAACACCAATACAGTATACTAGCACATATATATGGAATTTAGAAAGATGGTAACGATAACCCTATATGTAAAACAGAAAAAGAGACACAGATGTATAGAACAGACTTTTGGACCCTATGGGAGAAGGTGAGGGTGGGATGATCTGAGAGAACAGCATCAAAACATGTATATTATCTAGTGTGAAACAGATCTCTAGTCCAGGTTGGATGCATGAGACAAGTGCTCGGGGCTGGTACACTGGGATGACCCAGAGGGATGGGATGGGAAGGGAGGTGGGAGGAGGGTTCAGGGTGGGGAACACATGTAAATCCATGGCTGATTCATGTCAATGTATGGCAAAAATGACTACAATATTATAAAGTAATTAGCCTCCAACTAATAAAAATAAATGAAAAAAAAAAAAGAAAAGAATGGTTGAAAGGTACCAACCGAAGTAGACTGAAAAGAGAACATTGTCTTTTCCTATATAAAATAAAATTACCTCTAGTTAGTTTGAAATAAGGTGGCCAACTGTCCTGGTTTGCCTTGGATTGAGGCGTTTCCAAGGATGTGTAACTTTTCAGTGTTTTAAAGTGGATGGTCTTGGACAAATTGGGACAATTGGTCATCTTAGTTTGAAGTTAAATAAATCAGCTTCTTTTTTGTTTTAAGTTTTTGTCTAACATTTGAACTATTTCTGGACATTGGTGAAGAAGAAGAATGCTCAGGTTATTTGAACATGAATTCCCTTGAATGCTTCTGGTGAACTGGATCAATAGATAATTACATACCTTTTTCACTTTGACTTAATTTCAGATTTTAAAAAAAAGCTGCAAGAATAAACAAGGAATTCCCAAACACCTTTTTTTTTGACACTTGCACATGATGCTGCTTTCACCTTAAATCCTTGAGGGTGTTTTTTCTGCAAAGATTTATCTTATATAATCACAGTAAGATTATCAATGCTATACGCAATACTATTCTCTAATCTCTAGCTTTTATTGAGATTTTTGTTAATTTTCCCTGTATTGTCCTTTACAAAGGAAAATCCAAGATCATGCATTGGATTTAGTTGTACTGTCTTTCTAGTGTCATTGAATCTGGAAGTTTCTGAGTCTTTGTATCTCATAGCATTGATATTTCTAAAAAGTTGTTCAGTCGCCCAGTTTGTCCGACTTTGCGACCCCATGGACTGCAACACGCCAGGCCTCTGTGTCTTTCACCATCTCCCGAAGTTTGCCCAAGTTCATGTCCATTGCATTGGTGATGCCATCCAGCCATCTCATCCTCCAATACCCTCTTCTGCTTCTGCCCTCAATCTTTCCAAGCATCAGGGACTTTTCTAATGAGTTAGTTGTTCCCATCAGATGACCAAAATACTGGAGTTTCAGCTTCAGCATCAGTCCGGCCAATGAGTATTCGGGGTTGATTTCCCTTAAGATTGACTAGTTTGAACTCCTTGCTGTCCAAGGGATTCTCAGGAGTCTCCTCCAGCACCACAGTTCAAAGGCATAAATTCTTTGGCGCTCCGCCTTCTTTACGGTCCAGCTCTCGCAGCTGTATGTGACCACTGGGAAGACCATAGCCTTGACTATACAGACCTTTGTCAGAGGAGTAATGTCTCTCCTTTTCAAAACACTGTCTAGGTTTGTTATAATTTTCCTGCCAAGAAGCAAACGTCTTCTGATTTCATGGCTGCATTCACCATCCGCAGTGATTTTAGAGCCCAAGAAGAGGAAATCTGTCACTACCTCCCTCTTTTTCTCCCTCTATTTGCATGAAGTAACTGATATTTCTAAAAAGTACAGACCAGTTATTATGTGGAATGACCCTCAGTTTGAATTTGTCTGCTGTTTCTTTATGATTCCTACTTTTGGTAGGATTATCCCTGAAGTGATGCTAAGTGCATCATATCAAGAAGCATATGCTGCTGATTATTTCCATAACTGGCTAGGTTAACTTTGATTATTTGGTTAAGGTGGTGTCATCCAGGCTTTCCCAATGTAAAATTACTATTTTACCTTTGGTAATATGAAAAGTAACTTGTCTAATCCACTGCCAGAATCCTTAAAAAAAAATTATTCAACATCATATCAAAAGTATTGGTAAGCATTGTTTTAATAACTTTGGAGGTACTTAACTGTTTTCTGAGGGTTAGACATTTAGGTTATTTCCAGTCTTTTATTGTTACTTAAAAAGATAGTGCTGCTATTAATACATTTTTATGTTAAGTTTTTTTGTGTTCGGGATTATTTTATAAGATAGATTCTCAATGTAGTATTACCAGGACCAAGGGAATATTTGTAAGGTTTTTCATGGGAATAATATTTACTTATTTCTTCAATCCTAGGATTTACATAGAGTTTCAGAATTGCTAATCAATATCTCTGAAAAACCAGACTTTAATATTTGTTTACATTTTTTGTCATTGTTTTAGCCTAAGCATGTATAGTCCAAATGCTGTGATCACAAGTTTCTTGGATTAGTTCTTTTTTTCCCCTCCCCCTTCTGTGAAGTATTTTGTTCGCTTAAAATAAAAGTATTATTTATTTGTTTCTATTTGTATTCAATATGGAGAAATTTTCTGTCCTTAAGGATTTTGTTTGTTTATTGAGCATGTGAAACATTGACGTATTACCAGCAATCACATCTGTGCAAAAAGATTTATTCAGAGAAGTATGATTTTCTTTCTCACATTTTCTTTGTCCTTACCACCCAGTTCTCTATTCTGTAGGTAACCAATCTCATTCAGTTCAGTTCAGTTGCTCAGTTGTGTCCAACTCTTTGCAACCCCATGGACTGTAGCACGCCAGGCTTCCCTGTTCATCACCAGCTCCGGGAGCTTGCTCAAACTCATGTCCATCGAGCCGGTGATGCCATCCAATGATCTCATCCTCTGTTGTCCCCTTCTCCTCCTGCCTTCAGTCTTTCCCAGCATCAGGTTCTTTTCCAGTGAGTCAGTTCTTTGCATAAGGTGGCCAAAGTATTGGAGTTTCAACTTCAGCATCAGTCCTTCCAATGAATGTTCAGGACTGATTTTCTTTAGGATTAGACTGGTTGGATCTCCTTGCAGTCCAAGGGACTCTCAGGAGTCTTCCCCAACATCACAGTTCAAAAGCATCAATTCTTCAGTGCTCAGCCTTCTTTATAGTCCAACTCTCACATCCATACATGACTACTGGAAAAACCATAGCATTGACTAGACAGATCTTTGTCGGTAAAGTAATGTCTCTGCTTTTTAATATGCTGTCTAGGTTGGTCATAGCTTTTCTTCCAAGGAGCAAGCGTCTTTTAATTTCATGGCTGCAGTCACCATCTGCAGTGATTTTGGAGCCCCCCAAAATAAAGTCTGTCACTGTTTCCACTGTTTCCCCATCTATTTGCCATGAAGTGATGGGACCAGATGCCATAATCTTAGTTTTTTGAATGTTCAGTTTTAAGTCAACTTTTTACTCTCCTCTTTCACTTTCATCAAGAAGCTCTTTAGTCTTCACTTTCTGCCATAAGGGTGGTGTCATCTGTGTATCTGAGGTTATTGATATTTCTCCTGGAAATCTTGATTCCAGCTTGTGCTTCATCCAGCCTGGCATTTCACATGATGTACTCTGCATATAAGTTAAATAAGCAGGGTGACAGTATACAGCCTTGACGTACTCCTTTCCCAATTTGGAAACTGTCTGTTGTTCCATGTCCAGTTCTAACTTCTTGACCTGCATACAGATTTCTCAGGAGACAGGTAGGTTGGTCTGGTATTTCTATCTCTTTCAGAATTTTCCACAGTTTATTGTGATCCACACAGTCAAACGCTAAAGCATGGTCAATAATGCAGAAATAGATTTTTCTGGAACTCTTTTGCTTTTTCAATAATCCAACAGATGTTGGCTATTTGATCTCTGGTTTCTCTGCTTTTTCTAAATCCAGCTTGAACATCTGGAATTTCACAGTTCACATACTGTTGAAGCCTCACTTGGAGAATTTTGAGCATTGCTTTGCTAGCCTGTGAGATGAGTGCAATTGTGTGATAGTTTAAACATTCTTTGGCATTGCCTTTCTTTGGGATTGGAACGAAAACTGACCTTTTCCAGTCCTGTGGCCACTGCTGAGTTTTCCAAATTTGCTGACATATTGAGTGCAGCACTTTCACAGCATCCTCTTTTAGGATTTGAAATAGCTCAATTGGAATTCCATCACCTCGACTAGCTTTGTTTGTAGTGATGCTTCTTAAGGCCCACTTGACTTCGCATTTCACAATGCCTGGCTCTAGGTGAGTGATCACACCATTGTGTTTATATGGGTTATGAAGATCTTTTTGTATAGTTCTTTCGTGTATTGTTGCCACCTCTTCTTAATATCTTCTCCTTCTGTTAGGTCCATACCATTTCTGTCCTTTATTGTGCCCATCTTTGCATGAAGTGTTCCCTTGGTATCTCTGATTTTCTTGAAGAGATCTCTAGTCTTTCCCATTCTATTGTTTTTGTCTATTTGCATTGATCACTGAGGAAGGCTTTCTTACCTCTCCTTGCTATTCTTTGGAACTCTGCATTTGAATGCGTGTATCTTTCCTTTTCTCCTTTGCCTTTAGGTTCTCTTTTTTCTCATCTATTTGTAAGGCCTCCTCAGACAACCATTTTGCCTTATTACATTTCTTTTTTGGAGATGGTCTTGATCCCTTCCTCCTACGATGTCATGAACCTCTGTCCATAGTTTTTCAGGCAATCTGATCCCTTGAATCTTTTTCTCACTTCCACTGTATAATTGTAAGGGATTTGATTTAGGTCATACTTGAATGGTCTAGTGGTTTTCCCTACTTTCTTCAATTTAAGTCTGAATTTTGCAATAAAGAGTTCATGGTCTGAGCCACAGTCAGCTCCCGGTCTTGTTTTTGCTGACTGTACAGAGCTTCTCCATCTTTGGCTGCAAAGAATATAATCAATCTGATTTCAGTATTGATCATCTGGTGATGTCCATGTGTAGAGTCTTCTCTTGTGTTGTTGGAAGAGGGTGTTTGCTATGACCAGTGCATTCTCTTGGCAAAACTCTGTTAACCTTTGTCCTGCTTCATTTTGTACTCCAAGGCCAAATTTTCCCATTACTCCAGGTATCTCTTGACTTCCTACTTGTGCATTCCTGTCTCCTGTGATGAGAACATCTTTTTTGGGTGTTAGTTCTAGAAGGTCTTGTAGGTCTTCATAGAACCATTCAACTTCAGGTTCTTCACATTACTGCTTGGGGCATAGACTTGGATTACTATGGTATTGAATGGTTTGCCTTGGAAATGAACAGAGATCATTCTGTCGTTTTTGAGATGCACCCAAGTACTGCATTTCAAACTCTTTTGTTGACTAAGAGGGTACTCCATTTTTTCCTAAGGAAATCTTGCCCACAGTAGTAGATATAATGGTCATCTGAATTAAATTTGCCCATTCCAGTCCATTCTAGTTCACTGATTCCTAAAATGTCAATGTTCACTTCTGCCATCTCCTGTGTGACCACTTCAGTTTACCTTGATTCATGGACCAATAACCAGTCTTAGTAGTTTCTGGGTTTTTCCTTCCTGTCATACTTTTTGCCCAGATAAATATAAGTATATATTTTCTTTTTCCCCTTCTTTATTACCCCAAAGATATAATACTATAGATATTCTTTTGTACTTTGTTAATCAGAGAATTTGAAAGCTGAATCAGAGCTTTTTGTTTTATTTCTAAGGTTATTCTTTTCTCATTTTTTTTTGTCTTTTAGACATTGGACCAGCAACAGTTCTTCACAGAGGAAGAACTGAAGGAATATGAAAATCTTATCTCCGTACAAGAAAGTAAACTTAAGAAAAAGGCAGATGAACTTCAGAAACAAAAAGAAGACCTACAACGTCAGCATGACCAACTTGAGGCTCAGAAGCTGGAATACCATCAGGTGGTATTTTGTAAAAGGCTTGTGGCATTAAACAGGATTCTAGGGTCTTTGCTACGTGCCTCTGTTTTTGTACTGTAATATTTCAATTAGCTGTTATATTTTAAATTTTAGTATTTTTTTAAACTGCATTGTTGACTATTCTAAATTTTAAAATGTGAATATCTCATTTTGGACAACAATTTTTAGTTAGTTTGTTGTGCTTTGGCAAAGGTCATCCATATCAGAAAATCAAATAATACTTACTTTTAAGACATTCTTTTTCCATTCACTAGGTTGTACAGCAGATGGAACAAAAAAAATTACAACAAATTTCCCCATCAGCACCTGGTGGAGAATCAAAGATCTAGCCACGTATGTAATTTTATTTGTTTGTTTGAGAAAATTTAAAAAAAATGGAATAAATAGAAATTTACTTTTGTTACAAATATAACTTCAAATCATTAATATCTGTGCTACTTTCTCTTTATGTGTAGTAATAGAACAGTTTGTATTATAGAAAAGTGAAAAGGCCTCTAGAATCTTTATATACTAGTACATTTCAAAAGCTATGTAATTTGATAGCCATATATATACATGGTGAAATGATTTTTTTCAATATTACTCATAATTCTTCCTAATAATTATTGATATTATCAGAGAACATGTTTTTAAATTGTGATCTGTGATTAAGCATAGTTAAGAAACAAATACTCAGTACGTCTATGTATAAAAGAATATTCAGAGTAAAGGAAGATACCTTTAAAATGAAGGCATATATTTTTCTTTTGTACAGACATTTAAAGTCTGAAGTCCACCAGAACTTGGAAGAAAATTGTTGAACCATCATCTGTGTCATCTTTTTACCTCCCTTCCTTCTCCTCTGCTCAATAAATATTTTAAAGCATATGTGGAATAAAGGAAGATACTTTTTAAACGGGAACATATTTCTTTTAACACAGATATTTAAGGATTGAAGCCTATCAGAACCAGTAAGGAAACAAACTCAATACCTGCTGTCATCTTCATACCTCCCTTCTTCTCCCTTTGTTCTCCTTTAGTTATTTAATTAAGCAGCCTATGCCATAATTTAATGAAATTATTAGTAACTATTTAAGTGAGAAAGCTCCATCCATTGCTTTTAAAATAAATTGCTTTCATTTATTCATAAAGATAGATACTCTTATGGGTGCTTATCATCCCCTCTCTCAATAAAAGTCTCTGATATTAATGATTCTTCTCCTAAGAATACCATAGTATTCCCCAGTGTTTGCTGGTAACATTTTCCTGAAACTTTAAACTTTCAGCAATATTAACTGCTAGAAATTCTTCTACCAAACAGCTTCTCCTACCCCTTAAGGTCATTTTTCATTTACAATATTTTTGCGTTATATTCTATCATTCAAGATCAGGTTTTGCTACATGTAACAGAAAAGCCAAAGAGAATGCCGGTTTAACTAAAGAAGAGTTTTTGCCTTTTACATAAAAGAAATCCGTAAGTAGGTAGTGTCCAGGTTCCCATCTTTCTGCTCTGCTCTCCTCATTGCATGGTTTTTATTCTCAAGTTATTTCATTTTCAGTGTCCAAAGTGGCTTTTGGAAGCAGTGGGCGAAGGGCAACCAAAGGAAATTTCCCCAGCTGAGTCAGCATCCTGGGTGCAGTTTTCGCAGAGAACCACACAGCACTTAAATTTACATCTCGTTGGCCAGAGCTGTGTCACATTGCCATCTAGCTGCTAGGGAAGCTGAGAAATCCAGTGTAAGTGAGACCAGCTAAAAGTTAGGATTTTTTAACTAGGGAAAAATTCCATATCAGAAGGGAAGGGAGAATGTTTGATGGGCAACCACAGCTCTGAAAACATAATAAGCCTTTTGGTGACCTAAATATCTGTGTACATTCTTCTGAAACAGAGAACGCTCACTTCCCCCACCACAAAAGGAAACCACCAAAATCGAATCCATTAATGACTGTAACACAAAGCCTATGATATCTGAGTGTAGTCCCCTTTGTGAGGATAGAATGTGGTTTCTTACGTTCCGTCCACTTGCAAACTAAAAAGCAGTGTGTCTGCCCCCTGAGCACCTTATGCATAACGAGGTAGGTACAGGATAACTGCAGTAAAATCAACCTTTTAAAAAAGAGGAAAACAGGAAACAGAGTAGTCATACATCCATGGAAATTAAAAAAAAAATACTCTGTGGCAAAAATAGCAAGGTGCTAATAGCTCTCTGCTCTGTCCATACATACACTCTTTGGTTTTTCTATCAGGCAACCCTTGCTTCACCTTTCTGGGAGGAACTCCCTTCTCTCATGTCCTCAGGGGCCCTTGGCATTGCCCTCTAGGATGTTTTTATTGCCCAGTAACCTTCAAGGACACAAGTGGCCTTTGGAAAGTGTCCCTTTCTTGAAGAGTGGACAGCTTTTACACTTTTCTTCCTGTTATTATGGGTTTAGGGCCTTGGGGATTGTTTTAGATAGTTACAGGCTGTTTCAGCTTGGGCTTAGGGTTTTTATTTGTTTTTTGTTTTCTTCTGCTTTTTGGCACAACAGTTCCCTAAAAACTTAGTAGGTCTCTGGTCTGTTTTCTTCAATTTTTACCATGAGAAAGCACAAAGATCTTATCAAGATTGCTTTTAACAGAGCCTCATCTTTTACTTGCTGGCCTCTATGTTCTTTCTCTCCCTTTGGGTCTTAAATGAGTGGGACCTACTTAGGATTGTTTTGAACTGTAGGCTGGGATGGGATAACAAGAGTCTTACTCTGATCTTCTTCTTTAGGATAGTTCCCATTATTTGGCAGAAAATTCTTAAGGGAAGGTTCTTGGAAAGGTTGTGAAAGCTTTAGCAGCTTCCTTAGAATCTTTATTTATAATTCTTTCAGTCTGGAGTATGGTAGTACAATAGTTGCCTTTTTCAGTTCTTCAGGGCTCCAGATTTGGGACTTTATCAATTTATTTGGTAGATAGCAGTTCTCTCAGCGAAGCTACATTCCCTTCCATATCTCTAGACCTGATCATTCTTAGCCTGTCACATCTGTCTTGTTGGACTTTGCTGAAAGAGGGAAGGCAGAGCCTACACATGCTAGCATTTTGAAATTCTACTACCATTTTCTCTGATACCTTATCCTGAGTTTGCATGAGATATCACTGCCCCAAACCTGACCTCCTCAATAAGCAAGTTCCATTCTTAATATCGCTTTACTTGCTATACCTTACTTCTAGTTACCAAATTCTCTATAGGTTAAGATTCTTCATTGTAGGTCATTGAATCCTCTTCAGCTATCAAACAGAATGGGATTAATGTGAGAGGGGTGTATAGATAGCTCACAGCATCTTTGGGAGGGCTGAAAGAAGGGAACAGTCTGAGCTTCTAGGAGCTGCATCACAAGACTAGGCTGCTGAAGAAGCTGTTGCTTTGGGAACAGTTGGGAAGCTGTCTACTAAATCAGGAAGCCACCTACTGGATTAAGAAGCCATGAAGTTGCCAGCTCCAGAACCACACCACCACTGCCACACTTTAGATCTGCACAAATGGATACTTCATGTCCTGCTTCTCTCCCCATGGAACTCAGCTCTGAGTAAAAGTTTCAAGTGAGTGCAACCAATTGTTTGAACCAATCATATATGGAATCCCAGCTGCAAGGGAGATTGGGAAATAATATTTAATTTCCTACCCCTGTTTGCTTACAGCTGCTAAGTGAACAAATCCACAGTAATACTTCAAAATTTTAATTGCTTCTCTTAACATTAATGATTTTAAAAGCAGTTCTCATTTTATAACTTTTAAAATAATCATTGCGTACTCCTCCAAACACTTCAGATTTCTTCCCCTTAAATCGTGGATCCTAGAATTGACTGTAGCAATCTAGAAAAGTTCTACTTATATGTATCTTAAAAAAAACCCACAAAATCACTCAGCAGAGTAATCTATTTTTCTAGAGATGGGGAAGAATTCCTATCTCTGTTGTTTAAATTATAGGAAATATTTTTAAATGCTCTGGGGTATCCTTTTGTTGATGACTCTATATGTAACTGATATTGTGATAAGACAGGGATTCACATAGGATAAAACTTTTTAGATGTTGGACTGGGGTCAAATCAGAAAGTGATGGAGACAATGATATTGTACTTTTATGTGACAAATAACAATACAACAGCAGTTGTATTGCATATGTGCTAAGTCACTTCAGTCATGTCCAACTCTGTACAACCCTACCAACTGCAGCCTGCCAGGCTCCTCTGTCCATAGGATGCTGCAGGCAAGAATATTAGAGTAGGTTGCCATGCCTTTCTCCAGGGGATTTTCCTGACCCAAGGATGGAAACCGTGTCTGTTATGGTTGCATTGGCATGTAGGTTCTTTACCACTAGCACCACCTGGGAAACCTAGCAGTCATATTACAATACATTAAATATATCAAAGTAACACGTTTTACTGAAGAAGAAAAATGGCAACCCACTTTGGTAGAATCCCATGGACAGAGGAGTCTGGTGGGCTACAGTTGCAAAGAGTTGGGGTTGCAACTCTTTGGGGTTGCAAAGAGTTGGACATGACTTAGCGACTAAACAATAACATGTTCTACACCTTAAGTTTACACAGTGTCATATATCAAATATATTCAAGTAAAAAAATTAATTGGAGGAGAGCATAGAGAAATTTTTAAAAATACTTTTTTGGCATGAGTAGATAAGGGACAGATATTAATGTAGACATACCTCAGTTTCCAACCAATTATAATTTATTAAAAATAGAATTGTTAGCCTAAGATTATTTACGGACATAAGGAATTCCAGTTGTTATGAGTGTTGGACATTTATTACTGAGGGTTATTTCTTAAAGAGTTGCTAATCATATTCTTTCCAACTCTCTTACAAAGTATTGGTCCTCTGTTTGATTTACCCCATTCATTTTTATATTCTTTAGATATTAAAAAGTCTTTGGCTTAGTTGACTTAGTAGTATGTATAAGTAATTTGGAATTTTGTTTCACATATGAATTTCCATGAAACATTTTATAGTATACTTGTTTTTATTTAGTTGTTAAGTCATGTCCAATTCTTTTGTGATCCCATGGACTGTAACCCACTATGCTCCTCTGTCTATGGAATTTCCCAGGCAAGAATACTGGAGTGGGTTGTCATTTCCTTCTCTAGGGGAATCTTTCCGACCCAGGGATCAAACCTGTGCCTCCTGCACTGGCAGACAGATTCTTTACCACTGAGCCACTGGGAAGCCCTATAGCATACTTAGGTATATATCATTAAAACTATATTTTCAAAGACAATAGTCCTCTATAATATTTGACTCTCACTGAAAGAAACTGAAATTTAGAAGTTTAGAAGTAGTGGTAAAAGATCTTTTTGAGAGATGGCTC